TCTCTCTCTCTCTCTCTCTCTCTCTCTCTCTCTCTCTCTCTCTCTCTTTCTTTTTTTGGACTTCCCTTTCTCTCCTCTCTCTCCCTCCCTCCCTCCCTCCCTCCCTCCGTTCCTCTTCCTCCTCTCCTTACTCTCTCTTTCCTTTCGGGCTCTCTGTTCTCCCTCCCTCTCCCCAGTTTGATTCCTTCAGTGTGTCTTGCTAATGAATTCAGAATTACGACATCGCCATGTGCTTATCATATGTTGCATTCGCAGCTCTCTCTCTCTCTCTCTCTCTCTCTCTCTCTCCTCTGATGAGACCAAAAGACTGAAGCAGCATTGTATCTTGAAAATAGAAACCATTAGCTCCGCCATGTGACATGGACAGGCTCCTTACAGACTTAAATAACCTGCTGGACTTGCAAACTCTTTCGCCTGCATACTTATAATGTTCCTTGTGTGTGTGAGGCCTTGATTCATTTGATACCAACAGCAAACTTGTCGAGCTGGAGTGAAAGACTGTCTAGACTTCCTCATGAATTGGGCACAGCTCTGGCTTTGTAAACGTGTGGAAGGATGATAGCCTGTTGAAATAATACTGACATGCAAAAACAATACAAGGTGGAAGTGAGGGGGGACTCTATCAAAACACACGTCCTTAAAATGTTTTTAAGACCTAAGAGGAGAGGCGGGTGTGGGGGAAAATGACAGCAAGAGTGAATATCTAAGACAGAGAAAGGGTGAAAGAGTGACTAGTTAATAAGATTGGAGAAACCCCAGCCCTCGCTCTGAGATGTTGCTCAGACCCGTGTCTGCGTTCAGGAAACTCAGATGACCTCTGACCTTTGGCATGTCCCTCACACTGCGCCGGGGGTCAGAGGCCACAGGGCGAGCGTCTGAGCTCTGATAGAGAGATCAAACACACTCAGACATGTCCGTCTGACGTCTTGTGCAACGCACACCACTCCACTGCCTTTGTGTATTGTATGTTGATCTGCGTGTGCAATGCATTTGTGTATTCATGTTAGCATTTAGTGCGCGTGTGCGTGCTTGTTTTTCTTTTATTCATCCGTCTCTCGTGATGTGTTCATTCATTCTTTCATTAAAGCCAGCTGCCTAGTTTTGGTGCACACTGGGTGATGACATGAGGAAAATGTGCACACTGGCGGTCCCAAATGGCCAAAACATGTAACTCTGATTGCCTGCATGTTGCCAGAAGTACAGAGCCTGCCTCACAAACCTGTCAGGAGGTGTGTGGAAAGATCAGCTCCCATATAATAAAGCACTCATCAGGCACTCAGTCCTGAAGATTTAGTTTCCAACTCAAACAGTCTGTGATGCTTCACCCCAAATCATACGGAGATGAGAGAAGCTGTTCTGGGTGGAGCACTCACTCCCTCCAGCTAATTAAACACTTTACACATTCAATTCATAATTTTGCTGCCAATTTGCCAAATAATGTGACGCTGTCAGGTCTCAATAAAGGCAGAAGGGATGTTCTTGTTTCAGATCCAAGATAATAAGGTGAAAATGTTTTTTTAAGTATAGCTTGCTGGGTCCTTATTAAATGTGACAATAGTAATCATTTTAATATAATTTAATCACTGTTGGAAGAAAATTGAAACGGAGGTTGTTTCACCTTGTAAACATGCACACCTCTGACTGGGATCAGCACTCGTTGTGTGAGTGACCAGTACAGCAGGATCTGCTGACAGCCAGATGGGAATTAACCACACACAGATCAACAATAGGGACAGTGTTGGATAGACCTTTGTGTGCGTGTGTGTGTGTGTGTGTGTGTCATGAGTTGAGGTTACAGTAAAGCATCCTCCCAAACACCCGCCCGCTGGCTCATAAATCTGCCCTGTTGGCAGATGTTTTGTATGGGGCATCTCCCTCCAAACACACATACACACACACACACACACACACACACCGTGGCAACTGCATCAACGCTAGGGAGGTCTGCTGACAAGCAGGGCCTTATCCTCACCCTTAAGCACTTCCCGACAACCTGTATGTGTGTGTATCTACTTATGCATATCTGCATGTGTGTATGTGTCTGTCAGTACGCTTTTTGTGTGTGTCTGCGTGTATATGTGTGTGAATCTGTCACTGGTTCA